TTTTCTTTTGAAATTTTCCGTATATCGCCACCATTGCCGATCAAAGCAATTACATAAAAACCAATCTGGCAGGATAGTAGTACTTCTTGAATAGTGGAATTTTCCTTACAAATCGACTGGTCTGGCCAGCCTGTTCTAACAAATGGAAAAGCGCCCAGATATCTTCACTCTTTGAGAACTTTTTAAAAAAGTTCTACTTTCTTGTATGCTTACTGAAATTCTGTTCATGTGTCTTTTCTACTCATTTATTTTGAAAAAATATAGTTAGATCCATAGTATTATGGAAGTTCTGATTAAAGTTGTTTTGCGCCACAAGCTTTAACAGCGGACAACACGTAAAACTGCACGTAGCATAGTAAACTAACGTTCTATGAACTTTCCTTTTATTTCTACCATCTACCATCTTGTATTTCCCATCGTCACTTATGATGGTAGTTTATATATGGCAGTTAAGCTACTCTAGCTCGAACTTCAGTATTCTCAGTATTCCACACTAGTGAGCTGTCAGTCATTGTTTACTCAAGATCCTTCATTCATGACCTTGATGATCTTGACAATTTTCTATTCCTTTTTCGTCTTATTTGGCCATTAAGGTATCTGAAGGCCAATCATACCTGCTGCAAAAATAATAGTAGGTTGTTAGATTTTTAATTAGACTACATATGCATACATGTATACATCTGTATAACGCTTAAAACTGTGGAAGACCCAAAAAAAGTAGATGTGCTCGGACTTTTCTACGTAAAATACCGTACGGTACCGTCTCCTACAGTTTGACTCTTGTAAGCGACCACTAACTCTTCGCATTTTGGGTGATCGCTTACGGAAGGTTCGACCCAGATTTTTTGTGCACTCTTTACTAAAAAGGCAAAAAGGCAGCTGCAATGCTCCTCAAAGTGCAGAAAGATTCCAATTTCAATTATAAACATGCGCAGAACAAGCCAGAGAACTTCAAGTTTATTTACGCTATAAAGTAGAGACTGCCACAAGTAGATATTAAATTCTTGGGACCAGAAATAGACTCCAATCAGGAGAGGTGTTATAATGGGAATCATGTTAATAATACAGTGTATGCATGTTACTATGACGGTGAATAAGTGTCTGGTGACAGTCAGTTTCCATCATCAAAGGTTCCACTGTATAAGGAGATGATCGTCCCAGTTACTGCAGTTATTTCATGATACTGTTAACCTAACGGTATTCCTTAACATTTCTTTTAAAAGGGCAGGCGGTCACTCAATTTGAGTGAGGTAAAAATTTGAACTTACCCTGCAAATAATCTCTATCAGGTCACGTGACACTTTGTCGGCGTCAGCCAGTGAGGAAGTCAGATAAATATCACTGGGACGTTGTGCAATATTACGCAGTTCCTGATACACCACTTTCCAACCAATCCCCACCAACACAACCCGAACACCATGCTTCCTAAGTGGATGAACAAAGTGCTCAAGAGGAAGGGTATTTGCAGCAGTGGACTGCGCACCTTCGGTGATAAAAACTAACACTTGTGACGGCTTTTCAGATCCTGCGTGTCCTGGCGGCCTTTTTGCCTTGAACATCCTTCTAGCTGCTATTAGAGCCTTGTCTTTTCGGTTGTCCCCACCGATTCGTGGAAGAGCGCTCACGGCGCGCTGGAATATGGACGAATCCCTGTAGCTGTTAAGACCGACGATGGTGTAAGCGTTATCACTGTATAAGATGACTCCGACTCTTGTGTCCTCTCTAGAAATGTCGTAGTAGGAGGAGAGCTGTTGAATAAGTTCTTTTTGTTGCTGGTATTCCTGTACAGTGGCGCTGTCTGAAGAATCAATAACGAATCCGATGTCTACATTTTTGAAACATGATTTCTGCCTACCAGCAGCACCTTGGAACGAAACTGTAAATTTAGGAAAGAACAACACAAGTAAACGTTTGCTTCCATCTTTCCTTTTTGGTCATTTTTATCCTTTTTCATTTTTTCTAACTTTTAACTGGTGCAGAATAAACCTTTCCACGGGCGAGTAATATATATCCACAGATAATCAGAGAATGAAAATGTCAGAGGATACGCAGGTCAGAATGATTTCATAATATTTTGGTGATGATTTCTTTAACGTTATCTAATAAGAGTCACGATGAGGACAGAATGAAATTGCAAAATCAAACAGTTACCTCAGCCGAGGCGAATGGGCGAATCTTTATAATTGTACTACAATCCAAGCTCTTTTGAAGACTTCTCTTAAGTGGGTGGCTCTCATTCTTTTTAGGAGAACCCCATTTTAACTCTTACGCTACAAACACCTTTCCCATAAGCGGTCAGCTCCTAATTGGGACAATTTTTATCCTGCAAGCAGAGGTTTCTTTACAGCATGGCCTTCAGCATTTACAGCTAAGCCACTGACAAGCGAGGCGAACGACTTCGTAAATGCTAAAAGCTGGAAAAACTCTGCTCACAGACAATCTTCACATTGGTGTCCGATCACAGGAGCTTTGATCGTAATGCACAAAATACATTTGTGTTGCCCGTAATTTGTTCATTCACCTTTCGATTGATAATAATTCTTGTGGTCAACTTCTCTTAAATTTATATTTAAGTCAGTCAAACTTGCATTAGACGGTCAACCTGTGTAATATGGTCAGATGGTCAGTAAGGTGACTGCCTACTAGCTACAGGTTTCATTACAGAGTAAAATGCATGGAATTCAGCCTGCTTATAGCAGGTCCCTATTAAGTGTAAGCAAAGGAAATAAGGGACCTCTGCAAGCAGGCACTTTTACTTACGTGTAGAAGGTGGAGCATCTACACAGGCAGCTCTGGCAATTTGATTAGATTTCGCCAAAAGTTCGTCAAAATTATCCACAGTAAAAATATCCTCGTCCTTTTCGACGATTAACCTTAGCTCATCTCGGGAAACATCACTTCCAATACCAACAGCTAACAACCTGACCCCGAGCTTTAACAACGGCAAAACAGCCTGGTCTAGTGAAGTAGCCTTAGGATCTGAGGATTGATCGCCATTTGTGAGCACGATAAGTATCTTGGATAAATTGGCACGTTCTTGTTTGATGGCTCCAAAAAGACCATCAGCTGCCATTTTGAGTCCCCTTTCTATGCGCGTTTGTCCACCCCAGTAGGGTATCTTGTCGACTGCAGTTTTAAATTCTTCATTGTTCTTATGTTGTCCAAACCGAATCCACAGGCTTGCCTCTTCGTTGTATGTAACGACACCGGTTTCGGTTTTTCCCATGGAGATTGAAAATGTATCTGCCACGTTCTTGACAAAATTTCGTTGCTTTTCGTAGTTTTTTCGTGCACGTGCGAGACCGTGGCACTTGAGAGCAATTTTTCAAATACTTTTTCAGATTTTTCAGAAAAAAGCGAAAGAAAGTCCATGGACAGATTCAGTTTGTCGGCGTTGAAGGCCGATTTAGATTTAGCATTTTATTGCGAATCCGAAATCTGGTTTCATGATCCAGGCTAAATCCAGATTTGCCAAACGAACGCACCCCAAATGTCTAAACGGGCCACAGTGATCGCTCTCAAAGGTGACGAATAAAATGGAATGAAAAAGAGAGACGCACTATATGTCTGTTCTGGGTGTAACGAAATTTATATTTTTAATTCAGCGTCAAAACTTTGTGCCTTCTCTGCATACATGCATTACAACAGAAGTTAAGTTAAGTAAACCTGAAAAGCCTTTTTTGAACTTCTCATAGCATTGACTTGTGCCGCCCTCCAAAAAGTCAAAACTCGCCTGCTAAACCGCCAATTTCGAAAATAAGATACTGTTTTTTTCTTGAAATTTTCCGTATATCGCCACCATTGCCGATCAAAACAATTACATAAAAACCAATCTGGCAGGATAGAAGTATTTCTTAAATAGTGGAATTTTCCTTGCAAATCGACTGGTCTGGCTAGCCTGTTCTAACAAATGGAAAAGCGCCCAGATATCTTCACTCTTTGAGAACTTTTTATAAAAGTTCTACTTTCTTGTATGCTTACTGAAATTCTGTTCATGTGTCTTTTCTAATCATTTATTTTAAAAAAATATAGTTAGATCCATATTATTATGGAAGTTCTGATTAAAGTTGTTTTGCGCCACAAGCTTTAACAGCGGACAACACGTAAAACTGCACGTAGCATAGTAAACTAACGTTCTATGAACTTTCCTTTTATTTCTACCATCTACCATCTTGTATTTCCAATCGTCACTTATGATGGTAGTTTATATATGACAGTTAAGCTACTCTAGCTCGAACTTCAGTATTCTCAGTATTCCACACTAGTGAGCTGTCAGTCATTGTTTACTGAAGATCCTTCATTCATGACCTTGATGGTCTTGACAATTTTCTATTCCTTTTTCGTCTTATTTGGCCATTAAGGTATCTGAAGGCCAATCATACCTGCTGCAAAAATAATAGTAGGTTGTTAGATTTTTAATTAGACTACATATGCATACATGTATACATCTGTATAACGCTTAAAACTGTGGAAGACCCAAAAAAAGTAGATGTGCTCGGACTTTTCTACGTAAAATACCGTACGGTACCGTCTCCTACAGTTTGACTCTTGTAAGCGACCACTAACTCTTCGCATTTTGGGTGATCGCTTACGGAAGGTTCGACCCAGATTTTTTGTGCACTCTTTACTAAAAAGGCAAAAAGGCAGCTGCAATGCTCCTCAAAGTGCAGAAAGATTCCAATTTCAATTATAAACATGCGCAGAACAAGCCAGAGAACTTCAAGTTTATTTACGCTATAAAGTAGAGACTGCCACAAGTAGATATTAAATTCTTGGGACCAGAAATAGACTCCAATCAGGAGAGGTGTTATAATGGGAATCATGTTAATAATACAGTGTATGCATGTTACTATGACGGTGAATAAGTGTCTGGTGACAGTCAGTTTCCATCATCAAAGGTTCCACTGTATAAGGAGATGATCGTCCCAGTTACTGCAGTTATTTCATGATACTGTTAACCTAACGGTATTCCTTAACATTTCTTTTAAAAGGGCAGGCGGTCACTCAATTTGAGTGAGGTAAAAATTTGAACTTACCCTGCAAATAATCTCTATCAGGTCACGTGACACTTTGTCGGCGTCAGCCAGTGAGGAAGTCAGATAAATATCACTGGGACGTTGTGCAATATTACGCAGTTCCTGATACACCACTTTCCAACCAATCCCCACCAACACAACCCGAACACCATGCTTCCTAAGTGGATGAACAAAGTGCTCAAGAGGAAGGGTATTTGCAGCAGTGGACTGCGCACCTTCGGTGATAAAAACTAACACTTGTGACGGCTTTTCAGATCCTGCGTGTCCTGGCGGCCTTTTTGCCTTGAACATCCTTCTAGCTGCTATTAGAGCCTTGTCTTTTCGGTTGTCCCCACCGATTCGTGGAAGAGCGCTCACGGCGCGCTGGAATATGGACGAATCCCTGTAGCTGTTAAGACCGACGATGGTGTAAGCGTTATCACTGTATAAGATGACTCCGACTCTTGTGTCCTCTCTAGAAATGTCGTAGTAGGAGGAGAGCTGTTGAATAAGTTCTTTTTGTTGCTGGTATTCCTGTACAGTGGCGCTGTCTGAAGAATCAATAACGAATCCGATGTCTACATTTTTGAAACATGATTTCTGCCTACCAGCAGCACCTTGGAACGAAACTGTAAATTTAGGAAAGAACAACACAAGTAAACGTTTGCTTCCATCTTTCCTTTTTGGTCATTTTTATCCTTTTTCATTTTTTCTAACTTTTAACTGGTGCAGAATAAACCTTTCCACGGGCGAGTAATATATATCCACAGATAATCAGAGAATGAAAATGTCAGAGGATACGCAGGTCAGAATGATTTCATAATATTTTGGTGATGATTTCTTTAACGTTATCTAATAAGAGTCACGATGAGGACAGAATGAAATTGCAAAATCAAACAGTTACCTCAGCCGAGGCGAATGGGCGAATCTTTATAATTGTACTACAATCCAAGCTCTTTTGAAGACTTCTCTTAAGTGGGTGGCTCTCATTCTTTTTAGGAGAACCCCATTTTAACTCTTACGCTACAAACACCTTTCCCATAAGCGGTCAGCTCCTAATTGGGACAATTTTTATCCTGCAAGCAGAGGTTTCTTTACAGCATGGCCTTCAGCATTTACAGCTAAGCCACTGACAAGCGAGGCGAACGACTTCGTAAATGCTAAAAGCTGGAAAAACTCTGCTCACAGACAATCTTCACATTGGTGTCCGATCACAGGAGCTTTGATCGTAATGCACAAAATACATTTGTGTTGCCCGTAATTTGTTCATTCACCTTTCGATTGATAATAATTCTTGTGGTCAACTTCTCTTAAATTTATATTTAAGTCAGTCAAACTTGCATTAGACGGTCAACCTGTGTAATATGGTCAGATGGTCAGTAAGGTGACTGCCTACTAGCTACAGGTTTCATTACAGAGTAAAATGCATGGAATTCAGCCTGCTTATAGCAGGTCCCTATTAAGTGTAAGCAAAGGAAATAAGGGACCTCTGCAAGCAGGCACTTTTACTTACGTGTAGAAGGTGGAGCATCTACACAGGCAGCTCTGGCAATTTGATTAGATTTCGCCAAAAGTTCGTCAAAATTATCCACAGTAAAAATATCCTCGTCCTTTTCGACGATTAACCTTAGCTCATCTCGGGAAACATCACTTCCAATACCAACAGCTAACAACCTGACCCCGAGCTTTAACAACGGCAAAACAGCCTGGTCTAGTGAAGTAGCCTTAGGATCTGAGGATTGATCGCCATTTGTGAGCACGATAAGTATCTTGGATAAATTGGCACGTTCTTGTTTGATGGCTCCAAAAAGACCATCAGCTGCCATTTTGAGTCCCCTTTCTATGCGCGTTTGTCCACCCCAGTAGGGTATCTTGTCGACTGCAGTTTTAAATTCTTCATTGTTCTTATGTTGTCCAAACCGAATCCACAGGCTTGCCTCTTCGTTGTATGTAACGACACCGGTTTCGGTTTTTCCCATGGAGATTGAAAATGTATCTGCCACGTTCTTGACAAAATTTCGTTGCTTTTCGTAGTTTTTAACAGTGATGCTGCTCGACATGCCCATGACAAATCCTAAGTTGATGCTTTCTTCCTTGCACTGGACTGAAAGACACAAGCAAATAAACATAAAAACGTTTAAAGAAAAAGCAACTCCAACGTAGCCTTAATTCAAGCTCGCGACCAAAAAGTTTCATATCTTGGCAGAATGGCTGTACATAAAGTAACTTGCGAAACAGCAACTAAGACGTATCAGGGCCTATACATTTTCGAAGACATAGTTATATTCTCAAACAAATTGAACACTACATTCAATACCAGTTCCTTCCATTTCTTTAGCACATTTGCTTACCTGAATTAGAACACTCGTAAAGGTCAAGTTAGAAAGAATTTTAAACTGATCTTGCATATAAACACTTTTCACCCCCTTTGATATAACCTAAGTATTGCAATGTTCTAAATGAACTATTCTCTTTCGAAATTCCGGCACCATCCTAACTTAGTGTAGAATTATCATTTTCTATGTCATTATCTATACCTTGCAAAGAAGATGAAACGTGACAAATCTTCTGCGCAGTGTCGTTCGCCATTTTCGCCAAGTCATCAAAGTCAATCACGGTGAAGACATCCTCTTCTTTCTCTGTCAGCTCATAAAGTTCTTTTAGGTCCAACTCACTGCTGACGGCCACAACGTAAATGCGAACACCCTGTTGCTTCAAGGGACGCACAGCGTCTTTTAGAGGTACGGAACCTGGATCTTGGCTCTGCCTGCCATCAGTGAGGATAACCATCGTTTTCTGCTTCCCAGAATTGACTCCTCCATTGTCAGTGAATAGCTGAAAAGAGGCAAGCTTTAGTGCTTTGTCCAGACGTGTTCGTCCTTTTGTGTGTGTCATACGATCGACAACGTTTTTGAATTTCGCTAGATCAGCTGAATCTTTAAAGCTGAACTCTATCTGAGCATTGGTGCTGTACGATATTAGACCCAGTTGATGTTTCGTTGCAGAAGGGTCGAACGCAGATGCGAGAGCTTTAACGAAGTCTTTCTGCTTTCTAAAGTTTTCGTTACTGATACTACCAGATGTATCCACAACGAAGGCGAGGTCGGCTTGCTTTGAACACTTGGTCACTGCAAAGACAAAAATTCATAACAAGATCAAAACTTTTGCCGGGTTGCTCCCCATCCCAGCCAAAGGTACGTAAAGTCACTACTCTTGTAATCATTTCTGTGGCAAATCTCCCGACTAGGAAAAGTCTGCTCAGGAGAGGTTTCCACTTGGTAAGGGAGTTTAAAGCTGCATTGTCTGTATATCACTCGGTCCGCGACTAAGGGCACTTAAAATCAATCAGAAGTAACCGGCCTGACCAGCCCTAGGAAATCCGCTGTTAATCGGATATGTCTAGCAATAGTGGTCTATTTCTAAAAAATAAACACAGCAGAGTGGGATTGTTAGCTTAAAAGCTGAAAAAGGCTTATTTCGTTTGCGAGATGAATGGTCTGGCAGACCAGTTCCAGCTTTGGGTACAAGTTGGCCTACGGGAGATTTTCGTCATCGAAGGTCCGACTGTAGGCAGCTTAAGCAGCGTAAAAACCTTTAAAAGTTTTTGAGCGACGCACGTGAAACGGAAGTGAGTGTTTTGCACTCTTTAGCTTCATTTTTGCCCAAATTACTCGTCATCCCCAAAAATATAAGGGTTAAGGCAATTAGCAGTACAAATTTGGTAACTTCAAGGTATATTAGAGGGGTTCAGGCCTTACTTCCGGTTGACGTGCATCTCTCAAAAACGCCTCTGCTTAGCTACCTTGTATTGAAAAGTAGAATACCAAATACTTCAGCAATTCAGGACAGAGATACTATTCTCACGGCATACATAATTGGTTCGAGACGCGGGAAATAAGAAACTCGTTAAACTCCATCGTGTTGGGTCTGCGCGTTATTGGCATGATGAATTCCGAGCCTTTTGCCCGCCTCTTGGCCAGTTCAAAGGAGTTCAGTGGAGGTGACCTCAAAGTTCCGGCCCTCCCTCCTTCCCTTGTGGCGGTTTACACCGCATACCCTCATTATTCGGCATGCCTATTTTCCTGGCAGTAGCGGGTCTTTCCCACTACTTGTTTCTCCGTGAAGGGACAATGGGTATGCAGTGCGAATATTATACCATTCGGTCGGTGTTTGATTATTCCTGGCCTGAACCAAACTTGTTGTAATATCACTTTTTCTTTTTATTACCTACCTTTTATTGGAGCCGCAAGGCGACAAGTCTCCCGAGCAACGTCGTTGGCCATTTTTGCTAAGTCATCAAAGTAACTCGCGGTGAAAACATCATCCTTCTTCTCTGTCAATTGATATAGTTCTTCCAGGTCCAACTCACTGCTGACGGCTACAACGTAAATCCGTACACCCAGCTGCCTCAAGGGACGCACAGCGTCTTGCAGTGGGACAGTACCTGGATCCTGGCTCTGCCTGCCATCCGTGAGAATGATCACACTTTTCCGTTGACCAGAGTTAATTTCTTCGTTGGGATTGAATAGCTGAGAAGTAGCAAGCTTTAGCGCATTGTCCAATCGAGTACGACCTTTTATATGCAGCATACTATCAACGGCTTTCTCAAATTCTTCTAGTTTGGTATTATCTTTAAAGCTGACCTCCATCCGAGCATTTGTGCTGTACGAAATAAGTCCGAGTTGATGATTGGTGATGGAGGGGTCGAATGAAGACGCGATAGCTTTAACGAAGTCCTTCTGTTTTTTGAAGTTTTCATCAGTGATACTGCCAGATGTGTCAACGATAAAGGCAAGGTCAGCTCGTTCAGGACACTTCATAACTGCAGAGGAGGAAAAGAAGTAAGGAAATCTAACGTTATAGACGTTTGCCAAGTGAGCTTGTCAATGCATTAGCAAATTTAAAATAAAATCGCCAACTTTGTTCCATTTAACTGATATAAAAAGCTCAGTCAAAACGTTTCCGGACTAACACTATACATGATAATTAGCAAGTGTCACATTTGGTTTAAGTTCGCTAGTTAAATACAAAAATTATAAAAGTTAATTTAAGGAAAAACTATTCCCTGCAAAAAACATGCCGTTCCCATACCGGGAGTCGAACCCGGGCCGCCTGGGTGAAAACCAGGAATCCTAACCGCTAGACCATATGGGAGAGATGACGAAAACGGGAAATATTTCCAAAATAATCTCACAGATTTTGTTCAAGCTTTGCCATTGTAGACTTCTTTAGCATGTTTTGCTTTACCAATGCAGGTCACGTTTATCATGTCATATGTGTCATACATTGCAGAACTCTTTCTTCAAATTTCATCTTATTCACGTGCATAAGCAAGCATAATTTCTGAAAAGACAAAGGGGCAAGCTCCTCTGAGGCCTTCATTGGGAAAACCAAAAGTACAAGCTAAAGAGGTCCACTGAGGCAGCAATAAGAGATACAAGCTTCTTTATACGATTTTCAAAAATATCTCGTTACCGAGAAATACCAAGGTAAGTAGACAACGCAATGGAGTAATTTCGTTTCCATGGCAACTCTGATGTGAATAAATCACAGATCATAACAAATAAAATTCTCATCTTTGTGCAATAAAGCCCTAGTGACGTTTTTCACCGCCTAAAAAAGTAAAATTCCAGTCGATTAACCTCAAAAGAAGGAAAAACCTTTCCTTGCAAAATAAATTTCGACGTTCTCATACCGGGAGTGGAACCCGGGCCGCCTGGGAGAAAATCAGGAATCCTAACCGCTAGACCATATGGGAGAGACAACCTCAGAGAGGTATATGAATAAAGGATTTCATAAATGTTTCATTCAAGAGAATTTACATTCACTTGATATTACTGTCACTGTCGCTTCTCTCTCAAAGTAAGCAAGTAAGTAAGCAGTAACCAACAACGACGACAACGGCTACGAAAACGTCAGTTAAAAAGCGTGTTCGCGCTAATTGCACCTCGTTCTATTGATAAGATGTTGGCTTATTTTTCTGGAGTTGAATTCTAAAAGATTGTATTAAAGTTCACAAAAAGAAAGAGAGGGTTGTTTTCTTGTGTTCACGTCCTCCACCAAACGTGAAATTAGGCAGTTTCACGACGGCAAAGAAATGCACAACAAAGGCGGCGTGATGCACGTGCAAAGTTGTTGTTTTGCCAATCCAAACCTATTGCTTTTTTGCCGTTTTCATTGCCGTCGCTGTCGTCGTTGTTTAAGCTCCCTAGTTTTACCTGGAGGTGGCCGCGATGTGATGTTGCATGTTTTAACGGCCGCTTGTCGTGAGTAATTAAACAAGATGTTGAAGTCTTGAACACTGAGAATATCCTGCTCGTTTCCAACAAACTTTCGCAGTTCTACGTGGTTCACTTGGCTCCCTATGGCCACGACTTGGACCTGAACGGAAAGTTGCTTCAGAGGTACCATGGCGTCTTGAATGGGCACGGCATCGTTATCATTACTCTGCTGTCCATCTGTTAGGATGACCATCACTTTTGGAACGCCAACACGCGCGCCGCTTCGAGCCGTGAAAACATCCTCCGTGGCTAGCTTGAGCACCTGCGAAATGAAAGCCATAATATGGTCATACTAGTGCCTGTCTGGTAAATTCTATGCCGGCTTCCCGGCAATCTATCCGAGGTTAGGGAAAAAGGAACATGAAAGTACGGAGTGGAAGAGGGGCAAGGGGGAACGTTGACGACTACAAGTGAGTTTCTATGCGGAGCAGACAGTGCAAGAGGAATAAAACAGATAATTCGAAATGAGTACAGTGCTACCCACCTTTTATTCGCTAGAGTGGACTACTGGTTTCCCTAACACTTATAAAATGGATAGTAATTTATAGCGCTATTCTACTAGGAACAAACAAGTGAAGCCTAGGTAGGACCTGGTCTGTGTCTAGTGGCGCACAAGGCCTTACGATCTACTAACCAAATTTTTCATAACGATTGTAAAAACTCTACCCCTCACATTGATCAGTGACTACTCCTCGATATATTTGCTCGTGGATGAAACAAAATATTTACAGTACCTCACCTTGTCAAACCGTGTTCCGCCAGCAGCAAAGGGAAGTTTCTTAATCCCTGTTTTAAAAGAGTCCAGGTTCAATTGATCCCTGAAGCGAAAATGCAAATTAGCATTGCTACTGTATGTGACGAGAGAAAACTGTGTCATATGAGGAGCCATGTAGAAAGACTCGGCGACTTTTATCACAAAGCTCTTTTGCTTTTCGAAGTCCTCCTTTGTCATACTTTCAGAAGCGTCCATAAAGAAAGCAATGTCAGCTTTTCCGAAACACAAGAGCTCTAGAAGGTAAACATAAAAGTAAAGCTGTTGAATACTATAATAATGTTCCTTTCCTCGAAAATTATTATTTTAGATGCTGGTTGCAGCTGGTTGCTTCGAACATGCATGTCATCTGACTTAACAACCGATTTTAGTTCACTCGGTATTAAAAGATTTAAGAACTACTAGTGAACGTCCTTGAAAAACAGATTTTTTTACCCTGCCATTATAATCTTTAATCAACATCCGACTTTTCAGGAGCTCAGAAAGGTTTCCACAGCACGCTCTAGTAGATAGACTTGGCCAACAAAGACGTTCTGGCGCCCTCCAGCACCCCACGTTTTCTCAACCTCTACTGATACGATTTTGGGCAATTTTGATGGTCTTGTTTATTTTTTATAAGTACCCTTCTTTTTTAGTATCACTAACCGTCAAGATTAGCCTCAGCTTTTTTGTGGGCTAGTGCTGTTTTTCATAATTTGTATTATTTCGTAAATAAACCTGAAACTTGAACTTGAAGCTCACAAAGCTAAAGGGTGTGTTAAATGAGCTTACAAGAATCCAAGGACCTTTGTAAAACCACTGCATGACTTATGACTGCATCTACTCTAGCATTGCAAACTCTTTCCCTCAATGTTTTGCAAATTACCTGGTCTCTTGATGATATCACAGGTCTGTTTACTAGCTATCTTCGCGTTCTCTAATAGGGTGTTAAAATCTTTCACCGCGTAAATGTCTTTGGGGTCAGAAACGATCTGCTGCAGTTCGTTCATATCAATCTGATTTCCAACCGCCAAAACGAACAACCGAACGCCAAGATGGCGCAACTGCAAAACGGATCTCTCCACTGGCACTGCGTCGTAATCTGCGCTTTGCTTTCCATCCGTTAAAATGATCAGTACTTTGGGCAGATCAACGCGAACTCCTCCACTGAGCGTAAAAAGGTTGTTTGCCGCTACTTTAAACGCCTTGTCAAAACGGGTGCCACCATCGGCGAACGGCAGTTTGTCCACCGTATCTTGAAAGCTACGCAGGTCCAAATTGTCTCCAAACCTGACTCGCACTTGAGCATTACTACTGAATGTAACGATACCGAGGTGAGATTTAGTTGGTCCAACGTCGAATGAGGCGGCGATCTTTTTTATGACTTCTTTTTGTTTTTCAAAGTTCTTTTTTGTCATGCTTTCCGACGCGTCCACAAGAAAGGCAATGTCAGCGATTTGGGAACATTCTGAAGGTGTAAGGAAAACATTAAGTCAATTATAGTCTAAAATCAACAACATTAATTACAGATAAACGATAAACGTAAAGTGAAGGTTTGCTACCCAGACAATGACTATTTCGAGCTACCGATGTCATGATAATAAAGACCTCCTACCTTTACCTTTACGACAAATTACCTGCGCATGAAATGTCATTGCAATCTTGTTTCTGCTGAGCATGCCCAGTACATTGCTTTCCCCCGTGACGTGGTACTGGATTTGTGCAGTTGCGAGTTCTCATTTGTTCTCCTTTGCCGCATGTTTTTGAGCAGGTCGTCCATTTGTTCCAGCTGCTCCACTGTCCATCGACTGTTTGATGAAATAGTACTAGTAAGCAATAGGCAATTGATAAGCCCTTATAAACGAAGCTTTCTCGCTTTGAAATTTGTGGGGAGGGGAAATAAGTAGCCTTCCAATACCGCCGCTTTTCATCGCACCCGAGGTTGGAAATTTTAGCGAGAGAGACCTATGCGCTTTGGTCGCAAAATTCCATACTGCTGACATCCTCTTTCGAGATGTCCCCTACGACGGTACGCCATGAGAGGCAGATATAGTCTTAGACTATAACATAAGTAGAAGTTCAAATTAGCCGCATGGTGTGTTCCAGACAATCGTTAATTGCTTTTTTAAAGACGAGATTAGAAGGTTCTTTGTCAACGTTTATTGCACTGCAGCTTTGTCAATGTAATAACGGATCTTGGTTTTTAAAACAAATCCCGCAACCTGCATCAGCACCAAATTTCGCTTCCTACTCATTATCCCGATCACGAATCTCGCAATCCATTACCTCTCAAATCTCGGCAATTTGTCTTCTTGACAGAGGGATCTTTAAACATCGCAAAAGTAACCATTCAGTTCTCAGTTTTTATTTTCCGCTATAATTGTCACTGTAGGTATTGCATTTACCGTTACTGATTAATTAACATGTAGTACCTGGACAAGACTGAGTGTTACAAGGACGAGTTTCTTCGGGTTTTCCAGAACAATCCTTCCCGCCATGCCTTGGTGGAGGTTCAGTGCAAGTTCTGGAACGAGTATGGAACCCACCGCCACATGATCTTGAACATTCCCCCCAGTCTCTCCACTCCGACCACTTCCCATCAACTGAATAAAAGACAATACGATTATAAGTTACATGGGAATTCGCCATTTCCACATTTCCCATAATGCACCTTATTTGCCCTCCAAAATTTTGCTTAAACATTGTTTCCAATTTCTCTTGGGACGGCTGTAATACCCAGGAGAAGTGAAAAACAAAGGTTATGCAAAATTTGGCGGGAGGGGGGATAAGGTGCATTGTGGGAAATGTGGAAGTGGTGTATATCATCAACAAGTTGCGGCGCACAGCTCGTTTCAAATCACAGATTCAGCTTTAATTCTGAGCACATTGCTTAGTAAACCCTGATTTCAGTGGGATTAATGCAAGTCCCTCTCAAGTTATAAGAAGATGGTTATTCAATCCTTGACTTTCTTAAAAGACACAAAACAGTTTTAAACTGAAAGTTACGCCATAAGTTACGGTATGTTGAACTGACGTGATTATCCGGGAGAGTGTAGTCGTGAGTAGTATTTGTGGTGAAACTTACCGAATAATTACAGAAAAATACCATTCCTTTCAATACTAAGGATTTTATCTTAACGAAATACACCTGGACAATAATCGCTGTTACATGGCTTGGCCTCCTCTTGGCGACCGATACATTTTTTTCCTCCATGAGCTGGGCGGGGATTAGTGCACGTGCGAGCACGTGTTTGTATTCCACCTCCACAAGATCGCGTGCATTCAGTCCACGGCTTCCATTCACTCCACTGGCCATCAACTGGTAAAAGATCAGGAAACAAGCTCTTAGTAAGGCAGAATTAATCAGGAGGACGTGTAAAGTTGCAGACAAACAAAAAAATTCGGCATGGACTATTAGTCTTAGACAAATGATCACCTTACGAGGATGAAATTATTCCAGTTTTCCAGTAGCATGTGTATGCAATGAAACTTTCCCTTAAACTTCTATCAACTTGTAATTAACAATTAGTCCACGAGTGCGCGTTGGATCTGAGATGGTAGGTAGCCAACGAGGTGCGTTGCGCCCGGTTGGCTTTAATCATCTCTATCCAACAAGCGCGAGGGGAATACAACTCATTAAAAACGCCCACAAAATATCGAGAATTCCTTCCTGACTTTATTTGTAAAAACAACCGATTTCAGCTTGTTGCTTTCATTTTTGAGCAGACGCCTACAGTTACCATATTTTGAGAGCATGACATAATGGCTTATATACCATGATGGATAATCCAACTAGAGCTCTAGAGTTGCACCATCCAATGATTCAGTTTTTAATAATAGATAATAGTCAACTGATCATTCAGGAGTTAGCTGAGGTGTCCCTGGCCAAGAGTTGGTGTTTCAGGTTTCGAAACTGTTTGGATATCTCAATATGATATAATACTTTCATGTTTTAAAAAATTAGAAATTTATCTTTAAAATGTGACTCTACCTGGGCAGAGGTCACTGTTGCAAGGCCTAGCCTCATCTGCGCGACCGACGCAATCACTTCCTCCATAGGCGGTGCTGGGATTATTACACGCGCGAGCTCGCGTTTGTATTCCACCGCCACAAGATCGTGTGCATTCAGTCCACGGCTTCCACTCACTCCACTGACCATCAACTGGTAACAGAAAAAAGGCGAGCTCTTTAAGGGAGGATGCTGATTAAAGAAAACGGCCCTTAGAGAAGTGTACTCCTTAGAAGAATTTTCTCTTGAATGATCTTGTGTTAGAAATGCGAGACTCCTTGTCGAGAGATATGTTAAAGACAAAAAATCTTAAAACTATTAGTTGATGATGTAAACTTTAAAATTTTGCCCGCTTTATGAAACTTGTAGCAATTTGATAAATTTCTCTTCCATTTAGAAGATTCTTGCACCTCGATAGTGCCATACAGAACCAAAGAGGAGGTCCTTAAAAGAAGGATTCAAAAGACTATAGACAACATCAACACCAAAACATTTTCATCAATTGATCGAGTAACCTTTGGGTTTACATGACTTGCTTTCATTGTGAATACCTTTTTGGCTCACTGAATAAGTTGTTCTTAAAATATAGTCGTTCTTGCCATAATGAGCCACGAGCCACGGAAAAGTCTCACCGATTACAACGTATTACCCAGTTATTTTAAGGCCCTGATTATTGGTCTGGCCCAGGGAATCAAACCCACGATACCCGCACTGTAGTCACGTGCGCTACCAACTGAGCTTTAGGACGACGCCAAATTTTATTTTTCCTTTTACTTTGGATAATTATTTTATACATGGACCTGTATTAGCACAAACCGTACTAGAACAAAGTGCTGACAGAGGTGACGTCAAAAAGGCGCCAAATGCAGGTGCTGGTTTGGTGCAAGTGCGCATACGTTGCTGTGTTCCAGTTCCACACGTTCTTGAACATGGTCCCCAGGCCCTCCATTCGGTCCAATTGCCATCAACTGCCCAAAACATTGTCGTAATTACATTTTAATTCATGAATTCACCGATAACGGTTACGACCGGAAATCTGAGCGTTAACCGAGTTATAAGCAAAAGTAATGTGTATTTTGTTTGTAATTACGTTTCGTACAAGGGTTTCAAAGATATCGAAGTACGAACCTAATTTGAAATTGAAATACTTCATTCTGGTTTTAGGAGAAGGGAAAGATTATACTCATGGAATATTTTTTAGCAGGGAATGGCATACTTACACATATGGTACAGGTTTTAGCAAGGAATGGGTTACCAGATTTGGTTTTTTAAAAGTCTTCTTTTCTCTCCACATTTATAGAAGAAAAAAAATTTACCTGGACAGTTCATTTCTTGACATGATCTTATTTCACGATTAACCCCAATGCAATCTTTCCCCCCAAACGATGGCCGTGGTTCTGAACATGTGCGCACGCGTTGTTGTGTTCCAGTCCCACACGTTTTTGAACATGGTTCCCAGTCCTTCCAGGTACTCCATTCTCCATCCACTAAAGAATTAATCAAAGGTTTACTATCTATGAACGCTTTACAATGTTTAGATGGTGATCTTCGTGTCCTAATTTAAAGTACGTTAACAAACCTGGGCAAATTCTGTTACTGCATTCTCGAGTTTCGTCTTTGCTTCCCACACAGTCCTTGCCACCATTTGCTGGTGGTGGGTTGGTACATGTTCGTGAACGGCTCTTCTGTCCAATCCCGCAAGTCCTGGAACAGGCAGACCAATTGTTCCACCTATTCCACTGACCATCAACTGCAAACACAAAGTAAATGAAAGAAAACATTAAGAAAACGATTTCGTATAGATACTAATTGGTATATGTGCGCATCTTCACTCTTATATTATGAGAGGAAGCCAATCCATGAAACTGATGTTCAAGTATATGATTATTCACCTGGGCAGGCCTGAATATAGCAGCGCTGTGTCTGTTCCTTTGGTCCACGGCAGTCTCTGCCACCATTAGCAGGGGATGGATTATTGCATTTCCTTATTCGCATCTGAACTCCACCATTACAGGACTCAGTACAGGAACCCCATTCTTCCCAGGCACCCCACTGACCATTAACTGTAAAGAGCAATGCACCTGGTCTCATGAAAGAGTTGCTACAATTTCCAGTTAAACGAGATATAGAAATTTCCCTTTCCCTTTTACCGGTGAAACTCTTAAGATGCAGCCGGGGTACGTTGCATTTTCAAAATAAGGGACTCGCAACATATAGGTATGTTCGCCTGTGGTAGCCAAGGAATAGTGATGCGCTCTTTATCACGTGTCTTGGTATAGCAATACGGGCGCCGTTTTTTTTTTTTTTTTTAAGGTACATCAATATGGCCGAAGTGGAGTCAGCTTTAAAAGTCGGCAGTAATGGAAGAGTACACAATACCTGGGCATGATCCACGGTTACAGTTGCGTCTGTCAATTCTCGGACCAGCGCATGCTCGTCCACCGTAGGCCGAGCGGGGATTGTCACAAAAGCGAAACCTGGTCTGAGTGCCCAGTCCACAAGAGCTCGAGCAAACGCTCCATTCGACCCAGGGGCCCCACCCTCCATCAACTGTTGATAAAATAGAATTACTAAGTTTGATAACCTGGCTACAGAAGTCTTCGAGTTCTTTGTGTTCTTCAAGAGATTTTCCAAAAAAACGTTAATAATAAGCTTGGCATTGTGGAGAGGCTGACTGTTCTCGGTTCAGTCTCTCAGTAATACTGGCAGATACTGGTGATTGAAAATACTATCTGATTGACTCAAAGACAACACCTTTCCCCTGGGGCCCGTTTCTCGAAACTCCTGGTAACTTTTCGGACCCGAAACCATTTTCAAAAACAAAATCTTAAGACTTCTAATGCAGATTCTAGCCCCTAATCAGTCCATTTTGTTTCCTTGACTCATAATTTATAACGGTTTTATCTCTCAAACCATCGAAAACTTAATCGTAGACACTCTTCTGTTTTGGTCATCGTAGCTTTAGAAGAAACAAAAATCAAACTGCTGTAATGAAGGTTTATTTCTTTCCGGAAATGACTTTACATTTCCTTTTGCTTATCACCGTAGTTTTCGGCGCACGCTGCTTTTTGTTTCTTTCTGTCGAAAACTTGATCTTAAATGTAAGCACAGCTGACATAAAATAGCCTCCGGGGCCAGTAGTTACCGGGACCTTCAAAAACCGAGCAACTGGTGCAACATTTCTACGGGGCACTTAGGCAATAATCTCAAGCACTATTCTAGCTCAAAGCTACACTTTCGAACACAACTCCAGCACAGTGACTGTCAAGTCACATGACTCCGGACATTAGGCGCTAAGGAAGTCCCGGATGTAAACTACAACTTACTTGGACAATACTGTGTATTGCAAGTTCGTGTTCTTTCACTCTCCCCACTACAATCCTTCCCGCCATTGGAGGGAGGAGGATTGTTACAGATTCTGGTGATACTTTGTGTTCCGCCTCCGCAAGTCTTTGTACACTCCGTCCATCGTCTCCAGCTGCCCCAGTTTCCGTTTACTGTAAGTTAAAAAAGCAGTGATTCAAGTGACAACAATTCAGTAGTCTGGTTTTATTGGGTTATAAGCTTTGCTTCTTGTAAGCCCGATGTTTAGCTGTAAAACAGTGAATGTTTGAAGGAGCTCCCTTTACTCTACGGAGATCCCTTTATGCTACTTTGAACCTGGGAAAAGGAGAAAAGAAGGCCCGAAAAACGGGAATGGAAAAGAATGGAAGAGAGACGTTTATTTTTCTCTTTCATCCCATCTTCCCGTCCGCTCATGTGTCGCAGTCCGGTATCCGAAAGTCTCGAAAATGTGAGGATAGTAGTATATGAAGTGTAATATATATAAAGCAATTTGCTTCCGTATCTACGCTACAACCAGTTGTTAGGTTTGCTAAGTAAGTCTTTTCTAACTTCCATGGGCCTCAAAAGTAAAGCTCTCACAAATAAAAGGGATTTCCCCCCCTTTCCCCGTTTAAAGTTGCAAGCGTTGAACACGATCTTGGAATCCTCTCCCAATAACGGAAAAGGTTATGAATAGCGTGAAGTCTGGAAACACCATTTTTGGTCTAAAAGTGTCTCCAGGATTTATGCAACTTTCTCTAACATTGCGCCATTGTGAACCTCTTGGGCCTGTTTCAAACGTTGTGCTACTGCCATGCTAAGCTGGCTCAACTGTAGCTCGACTGCAGCAAGACACTAGCACGACTTTGTTTCAGACGTCGAATTTTTAAAATTCAGTCGAAAAGAACGGCTGTTGCCGAAAACAAAACACAAAAGTAAAGAAACGGTTTAGCAAACTTTTAAATGTATTCTAATGTATAATTTATGACCTTTGAAACGGGCCTTAGCTTACCTGGACAGCCATTAGTATTACAAGAGCGCTTTTCCGCAGGTGATCCAAGACATCTCCTCCCACCGTGAGCTGGCCGGGGATTGGAGCATGTCCGAGACCTGGTTTGTGTTCCTTCACCACACGATCTCGTACACACACTCCAGGATTTCCATTCACTCCAGCTACCGTCCACTGGGGAAAAGGGAACAAAATATTTCAAGAAATGAATTTTTTATAATGCCTCTTAGCATTAGAAAAGGGATGAGATATATAATAGAAGAAGCTGGCTGGAAAACCTACAAAAATTCAAAGTTAGACTGTATAGTTATTTTATTGTTACAACTAAGGGAAGGGGAGTTGCTGAAATGTCCTATCGCGCTGTCCTCCAATAAATTGCTCCTCAGCGGTTAAGGGTTAGGGAAACCAACCGTGTTATCTAATGTGTAGAGATTTATCTGGGAAAAAGCTTTACCGACCTGTTAGGAAACTGGATATAACCCACCGTATTGTTCTTGGCGTTCTCATAAAACTTAGGATTACCACATGTCAAATGATGGAGAAGAACCTTCCAGAAGTCACCAGCTTCAGATTGAAAGGAGAAAGACCATTTTACCTGGACAGGGATTAGCATTGCAGTTCCCAGTTTCATCGCTTGGCCCTTTGCAGTCCAATCCACCGTTGGCCGGTGGAGGATTGGTACAGGTTCTCAATCGTGTACGATTTCCGCCACCGCACGTGACACTACAGGAACGCCAATCATCCCACTCACTCCACGAGCCGTTAACTGAGATTATATACAATAAAAAACATCAAATGACAAATATCTTTCCAAACCTTCTGAAACAAATGATTCCAAAAGGCCATTTCAATGTGCCAAAATAGTTACCTGGACAGCCTGTCAAGCT